ATCAGGTGAGGATAAATTATTTATCCAATCTGAAAAAGACAGAAGTCAAATATCATAAGACGAAAAGGTAGTGCAGTCATCACCAGGCGGCTCTGCTGGCTTGATAAGTAAAATCAAAGATACAGAGGGCTATAACCAAGGAGAATTAGCTAAACTACCACATTCTATTTAATCACAGTCCATAAGAGCTCCCCTAACTTCTGCTGAAGTTACTTCAACAATATCACTTACCTCTAGAGGAAAATAAGGGACTAATGGGAAGAGTTCATTGGTATTTACTTCAAAACAAAAGAGAAAGTGAAGGTCACTCCAGGTCCAAAATAGATAGATAGATAGATAGATAAGAAAAAAGGAGGAAAGGAGGGAGGAAGGGAAGAAGGGAGAGGAAGAAAAGGGGAAGGAAGGGAAAGGAAGGGGAGGAGACGGGAGGGTAACAGGCTGGCTTTCTAAAGGCACAGCTGAAGCAACAGTTTGGAGGCAACATTCTGAAAGGATGGGGTATGGTCCTTCAGGATGCAGTGTATTTATTGAACCAGAAACCTCTAAATGACACTGTGTCCCCAAAAGGAAGAATACACAGGTCTGGTAATCAAGAAGTAGAAGCAGGAATGGCTTCACTTACCATCACTCCCACTGACCCACAGAAATTTCATGCTTTCATCTCTGTAACTCTGGGCTCTGCAGGGTCAAAGGTCCAGGTCCCCAAAGAGGATGCACCCTTGCCAGGGGATATATCAAGGGTCTCACTGAACTACAAGCTACAGCTACTGCCATGACACTTCGGATTTCTTGGGTCTAGGGAGCAGCAGATGAGAAGAGGAGTTACCATACTATCAGGGCTAAGTAACCCTAGTTAGCAGGAAGAGGTAGCGCTGTTTTTACACAATGGGAGTAGAGAAGAATTCAGATGGAACCCAAGTGTTCTACTTGGGTGCTTCCCAGCATTCCCATGCTCCATTGTAGCTGTGAGTGTACATGTGCAGCAACGTCAGCCAGAGAAAGATATGACTATCAAGAGTTTGGACCACTCAGGAACAAGGGTTTGGGTCATAACACCAGACAAGCCACTAAGACATAATAGTTGGGGGCGAGGGGAAATGAGAATGGATAGTAAAGGAGGGAGAGGATGGGTGCCAGTTGCAGCCCCGAGATCAAATGCAGTAACAGTGACTATAATTTTCCCCACTAACCTCCATCTTCTAAGTTTCTCTTCAAAAACAGAGTCCCATACAAAGCTTGAAGGAATTGTCTCTTGAACCTATCTGGAGAAGTCGATCTGTGTGGCTCTAGGGCAGCTGTGGAAATGAACTACTCAGATCTCCTGCTGTGGGGATCATTATTAACTGATGGCCCCAACTGCCACCCTCTGAATCTGCTACGCTTCCCATGGGCTGTCTCAGACAATGACTGAGTGTAGCAGGGATACTAAGTCAGATCCATTTCTCAGGATGCAAGACTCCTCTGATGGCCACCTTAACCTCCATTAACCCGGCTGAAACTTTTAGACCTGTGCCTATCCAACCTGTTTTCCTTCCCTCCCTATTTCACAGAGGTCAGACCTGCATCACAGTCTGACAGCTCTTCCTGCCTCTTCTGGCTTCCTCTCTCTTTCCCCCTCACAGGCATTCTCCCAATAAATCTCACATAAATCTAATTCCATCTTAATGTCTGCTTCTTTAAGAATGTAAACCAACATAGACCTGTCCACAAAACAGATTAAAACTGTAATCCATGATTTCAAAACAAGCTAAGAAAATAATACAAGACATGAAAGAACATGTATCAAAATTAATAAAAAATTCAGAAAAAAGGGTGACATATTCAGGAAAGTTAAAAATAAAAGTGAAAATTGTTTAAAAGATAAAGACTAATCTAGAAGACACACAAATGCAAATAAACACAACAAATAATGCCTTAAGAGAAGATTTTAAAAAGGAAAACAACAAGAAGAAAGCGATAAAAAGGGCACTACTTGGGATCTTTGACGGTAGAATTTAACTTCCCAAGGTATTATTCCAGTTGCTTCACATCTTCATTACCGAGACTTTCTCTAGATCTAATTATTAGCTCTTTCCATTGCTCATTATCCATCTCTAACCAACTTATCCAAACCTTCCTCAAAGAATCTTTCTTATTTTCCTTTACTTAATTGGGGGGGGTATTTCTGTTTAATATTGTCTAGTTTCTCCACACTTTTATCTGTTTTTTAAATGTAGAGCCATTAATTGGAAATACTACCCAGGTCAAAGTATGATCAGTGTTAAGTTGGTAGAATTCATGGATTAGGTATGAAATGGGCTCATCTATGCTTTATGGGATTGTGACCTGGTTAAATGACTAGACTCAGCTCCTCAACCTAGTCTATCCTGCTGAGATTTTCCAAGCATGGAAACAAATATATCACTTTATTAACATCATCAACAAATATTGATTAAGCATTATCAATGTACAAAAAATTATGTGCACTGTTTTAGATGTGTTAAGGACATCCTTGATCCCTGAGGAGGCTGATGTGGAGGTTTTTGTTTTATTTTGTTTTTATGAACAACACTTTGGCTTAAGAACAAAGACACATAAACTCAGAACTATGTCAGCTTTTGAGATGTTGTATTATTGAAGGACGGGAACAATCCTAATTAGGCCAGTGTCAAAATAAATGAAGCCACATCTATGTTGGTAGTTCTAAAGGAGAAGCAGGAGGGACATTCAGAGGCACCACCAAGCTCTCCTGCTCATTACTTCTCAGTCTCCAGTGCCTTGTCTTACTTGGTCCCAAATATCCCCATTTTCAAGTTTGTCTTGGAAATAAGACATGAATTCATAATAATTAAAATGTGATCATGTCCCTTTAAGTTCCCCAAATACATATGATAATAATAATAGCATAAACACATTGAGCATTTACTTTGGGCCAGACATTATCTTATTAAATCCTCACTCCAATAACCCTGTGAGATAGCAACTATTATTGTCTTGCTGCTCTAGAATTCAAATTCAGACTGCCAGGCTCCAGATGCCAAGCACTTTATCCCTATGTTCTGCTACCACGCTATGTCAAAAAATAATATAGCCAATCTTATGCTATAGCTAACCTACAGTGATATAGTTTATCTTGCTAACACTTGAGCCAGCAATATAAAGTAAAACAAAGTGTCACAAGAAATGAGACTAAGTGTGGCAGCATGAATCAAAGCGGTGGGGTGGTGGGGAGAGAAGGTGAACCTGAAAGGGAGGAGAGCAGTGAGTGGGGCATTTACAACAGCGGTCTTAAGCGCCCCTTAAGTCTCCTTCCAGAGCACTCAGATTATGGAAAGGCCTCCTTTATTAGAAGCAAAGTTTAATAACCCAAATGCAAACCAGACATTTAACTCTCCAACTGATATAGTTCCCCATACTTTATCACATAATTTTCATATTTGGACGCTTGCAATTACACCAAAGACAATACTGCTACCCTTCCAGCCACCAGATTTCTATCCCAAAAGGTTAAAATACACCATAGTTAACTAATGTGTTTGCTATAGGAATCAAGAGGTTAGACTGGGTAAGTTCTTTTTAATGCTACATGTTAATTTAATACTTCAGAACATTTAGCTTATTGTTCTTAGTTAACTTGTGTTGACTGAAAAAAAAGCACAATGTGAGCGTTGTGAATTAAGTTTTATTTGGGGGCAAAATGAGGAGTATAGCCCGGGAGACAGCATTTCAGATAGCTCAGATCCAAAGAGGCAGGGGGTTAGGTCAGTATGTATGTGATTTTGGTGAGGGGTGCGGGGGATACCTGCAATCAAGCACACGTTTTAAATTATTTATTTATTTGGCCAAGCCACACGGCATGTGGGATCTTAGTTCCCAAACCAGGGATCGAACCCGTGTCACCTGCAGTGGAAGCACAGAGTCTTAACCACTGGACCGCCAGGAGGTCCCAAGCACACATTTTTGCAGAAGGTTGCTGCTACTTTGTGAAGGTCACTGCTAGTCATGAGAAGCAGACTTCGCCAAGAAATATTTTAGTGCTTTTCTAGATATGCGGAGATGCAAGAATTGGGCTCATAAAAATCATCTCCTGAAAGTATCTAACTCTCTGAAGGTCTTCTCCGCCAGCTCTTCCCAGAGCACAGAGTGCCTCATTCTTGATCTCCACCCTGAACTCCTTTCAGAGAGTGTTAAAGTTCAGCAGCTGCAGCAGCTCATGATTTAATCCTTCTAGAGGTAGATGGCAAGTGCCAACCTGTAGTTGGCACTTGGCAACTTGCATTCTAAGTACCAACATTATGCAGTAGAGCATATATTTAAAGGTGACGATTAGACTGCCGAGGTTTAAATCTTGTTTTCACCTAACAAGCTCTGTGATCTTGGGCGTAATAGCCACCTGAACACTCACTTTCACTGGGTGCAAAATGGGGTTAAAGTAACCTACCCTATAGAATTGTGGGGACTAAATGAGGTAGTACCATATAAAAGTGCTTGCCACACTACCTGGAACATAATGTTCTCATGGTGGCTATTTATCTAAGAGTACTGGTTTAATATTAAGAGAATCTAACATGCAAAAAACATTAAATCTAGTATTACCTATTATTCTGTTAAATTCGGACGCCTAAATCTGGCTTTCCTTATTTCACCTTTCCGATACTGCATTCTCTCCGTTTCACACAGGAGGTAAAAATCCCAAGACTTCAGCGTTCTCCAGAAGAGAAAAAAAAAAACCACAGGTAGTTAATACAAACACAAACTCTGCGGGTCTCTGACGCGTTTCTAGAGACCGCAGCAAAGGGCCCGCCCCTTCCCCCTCCCGCCCTCTAGATTCCTGGAGGAGGAGACAAATCCCAACACAGAGTCGAGGGCACCTCGCTTCCGGCTCGCTACGTCCGAACTGAGGCGCACGTACGCTCTTCAAGGAGCTTTACATATCGATTGCTTATTGGCTACTAGCAAGCACTCTTTCTCCTCATTGGCTGATTCTGTCCCTCGCCGACGTTCCGCGGAGGATGTTCGCCGCGGCGAGTGAGAGGGTCACTGCACCTAAATTTCCGGAGCCGGTTCACCTCTGGCTCCATGGCGACCGCTAGAGGACCGGCGTATCTGCTGACATTAGGCAGATGGCGCGGCGGCCTCGGAATAGCTACCCAGTCCCGAGTGAGTGCTTACTTTCCCTGCTGTCGAAGAGGCTGTGCGTCCCAGAAACAGCTCCGCTCCGAGGAGGACCGCTCTCGGCCGCCCCTCCCTTAGCCAGCGTCCGCAGCCATGCTTTCTGCCCCCGCAATCAGCTTTTCTTTCCCGGCCTGCAGGCGCTCGCTGCCCTCGTGCCCGGCGTATCCCAGGTGGATAACCAGTCTGATTTCCTGGGGAAGAGGTCCCATCGCCGACACCCCGGCATCCTGCAGCTGTCGCGCGTGCGGCTGCCGCAAGTATTGGTTGACGCCGCGCAGTTACTGCTGCTGGGTGAGTAACGGGGGGAAATGGAGGCTCGAGAAGAAGCGGAAAGTGGGCCTGCGTGCAAGTGATTCCACTTTTCATCTTTGGTCCTTAGAGAGCTCGATGCCCAATATGGAGAAGCACGTGCAAGCATTGACCAATTATCTCTGGAGTCGGCATTTACCTGTAGAGCCAGAGGAGTTGCAAAGACGGGCTGTCCATCTTGAGAAAAAATTCCTGGAAAACGCAGGTAGGGCTTAAGAATAAAGAGTAGGCCAAATTGAAAAAGCAGAGGGAAATGAAGAGCAAGAAATAATTTCGCAGCCTCTTAAATAGATGCTGCAATTTCTTATGTGACTTTCTGGCGAGAGTAGTTATTACAATGATGCCTTACTAAGAGAAGACATTATTTCAGAGATTGCTCGTGGGGCTTGAGTAAAAGTCAGTGAGTGCTTCAGTATCCTGTCGAAACTTAGATCTTTGGCTTTGTCCTCCAAGTTCACTGGATCAAGACCATCTAAGTTTTTATTAAGTAATATAAAGTTCATGTCCAGTACTAAAACCCACTACAGGGAAAGGAGAATAATCTATCAGGTTATTTTTATGGTTATGAGTTGTCTCTTATTAAGAGACCTGCCTTTTATTCATCTTGTATTCGCCGAACTTCTCATAGGATCTGGTTCATAGTAGGTGCTCGGTAGATAAGATAGTACTGAACAAAACACAATCATGAGACTTTAGTTTTTCAAGCCCCTTTCCTCCCTATAGGAGGATTGGAGACGTCACGATATTAAGTTTTGGGGAGGTGAAGAAATCCACAAAATACTGTGTTTATCCTATCCTTTAAATTTTTGTTACACCTCCTTTTAATATAGAACAAACCTGTGGGATAGAGTTGGTTGAGTTGAATAAACTGCTGTTAGAGGAAATATACTATCTGATACACTTTGGTGGTGGTGGTGGTCATTGTTATTCTTACCTGAAAGTTTTCTCTAGGTTTGACTTCTCTCTTAAGCTTTGAGGCTTTTCCCAGGTGGGAATTGGGGATGAATGGGCAGGCAGTCTATTCAGATATTGGATCTGAGCCCTGTTCTTCCTAGGTCCTCACTTCCAGTCCTTGTTCTCACCCCAGACTCATGTCAGATGGAAAAACTTTGTGGAGAAGTGCTGCATGCTCTGCGTAGAACTACCTATCATTGGCAAGAGTTGAGGTAAGGGAGACTAGAAGGGCTGCAGAAGAAGGAGACTGGGGGAAGTACAGTTACACAATTTTGTGTTTGAAAAAAGTGACCTGGCTTGTAAGCCTCCCTAGGACTCTTCTGTGTTGAGAAGTGAAAGTGTTGAGCTGGAAGAGCCCTTTCCAAAGATTTCACTTCCTAAAAGTCAGAGGGTAGCTACGGGATAGAGGTTGTTTCCCAGTGGTATGACTCTGGTTTTTCTGGCAGCTACAGTGAGGGACTGAGCCTGGTGTATATGGCAGCAAGACTGGATGGTGGCTTTGCAGCAGTCTCCAGGGCATTCCATGAGGTGAAATTCGCTCAATTTCCTACCGTCAGTTCCCTTATTCATAAAGTAGTCTTCTGGGGTAGGATACTTGGGACGTTGCATGTGCATTTTTTTTTTTTTTTAGGAGGTTCTCTATCCTCTGAAAGGAATTTTTGACCCAAGAAAGGTTTAGAAGCACTGTTTTAAGAGCTTTCTATTCTATAAAGCATTTACATTGAATCTTAGAAGGCATTCATATCTCATTTTCTCTGTTGTGGTCCCCTAATTCATGTTTACCAAGCGTCTACTGTGGGGTGTTGTATATTTCTTTAGATCCAAGCTCGACTTCCAGAGTTCCAGCCACAAACCTTGATGGACTTTGGCTCAGGTACTGGCTCTGTCACCTGGTGAGTCTCTTTCTCTTTCTCTGTCACTTCTAGTTCTAGAGAGCCATGCTTACACCACGTCAGTATCAGGAGACTGGAGAACCAGAGGGAGAATAGGAAAGTTGGGGACTGGAATGTTTCTTCCCTCACATTAGACAAGGCATGAGAAGGTATATGGATTAGGGCCAGAACATAAAGAAATGTCAAGTGAAAAAAAGATCCATGATTAGAAGGATAAAAAAGGAAAGGAATTTAGTCTAGGGTGGAGGTTTTACATATCATCAAGATTTTCTTGTGCACAAATAATTTTTGAGTCTGCCTTTTTTTAAGGAGTTGTAAATGAAATAAGAAAATAACACTATTCGTTTTTCCAACTATTTTAACATAGCACTGTGTTTCTCCAGGGGTGGGTTGGGAACAGAGGGGTCTCTTGCAGGGGTGACTCTGTCATGAGAGCTGGCGATATATTTTTTGCCATTTTAGGGCTGCTCATAGTACTTGGGGCCAGAGCCTACGGGAATATATGTGCGTGGACAGCTCAGCGGCCATGTTGGAATTGGCAGAAAAGCTACTGAAAGGTGAGGACAAAGTATAAGGAAGGGCTTTTCCAGCGTTGAAGGAATTAAAAAAGCAAAGGAGTACAAGAGAGGGTCTTTTATTGGGGAGTAGAGGAGAGGGCTAAAAGTTAAAAATGAGTCTGATCTTCCAATGCGATAGTCCAGCAGAAGGTGCTGGAGGCCTTTGTTGGACTGTGAATGGGTAGGACAAGAATAACAGGACAGGTGACCCAATATTCTCCCGGCCCTTTTTTATAGTTGCTTACTCTATTGCATCTCACCCTCAGCTAGCGTTTTTCTTTGTTCTCAGGGCCATGTTTCTTATCGGAATGTCACTTCAGTTTACACCTGTACACTCATAGTTGCCACATCTCTACTTCTACAGGTGGTTCAGGATCTGGGATGCCTTATGTGCCAGGTGTCTTTTTCAGACAGTTTCTACCTGTATCACCCAAGGCAAGTGGCGATGTTTAAAGTATGCTAAATGTGGAGTATGCACATGGAAAACTGTGGCCTTGGCTTTGCAACCTAGCATTAAGTGTTAGAAAATAAAAGAAAGCAGAAGAAATTTAGTGGGATAGACCTTTGTTGTACTCTTAGAAGAGGGAGATGTCAGGTCTGTCATGTTCCTTGTCCTGTGCACCAGGTACAATTTGATGTGGTGGTATCAGCCTTTTCTCTCAGTGAACTGCCCAGCAAGGCCAACCGCACTGACGTAGTCCAAACCTTGTGGCGCAAGACAGGTCATTTTCTGGTGAGTAGAAACCCCTTTTTCCCTTCAAGTTTTAAAGCAGCTTCATGGGTTTCATGGCTTTCCTTCTCCCCATTGGAGCTTGTCTTCATTCTTGACCATTTTTCTTTTATATAGATCCCTTTGTCCCTCTTGTAGGGTCCCCATCCACATCTTACATATAATGCCCATTTCTTTAGGATCCCTATTCCATCTGGGAATGTTCTTACAGAGCTACTGACATTTATGTTTTCATGTAATTTGGGGCTTCTTATTTTCCGCTTTTGTAATCAGATATTGGTGGAGAATGGAACAAAAGCTGGGCACTCCCTTCTCATGGACGCCAGGGACCTGGTCCTTAACGTAAGGTTCTTTCTCCTTTTTTCACCTTACCCTCCATACCCTACCTATTCTCACCAGTTACTGGCACGCCTGTGAAAACTGAAGGGACTCTGTCATACAATGGTGAGGATAATTCTCAAGATAGTAGGCATATGAAGTCATTATGATATAGGGTAGTGGTTGGCAAACTTGGGCCTGTGGGTCAGATCCAGCCTGCCACCTGTTTTTATATGAGCCGTGTTTGTTTGTATGTCTGTGGCTGTATGTCTGTTGTCTATGGCTGTTTTCACAGTACAAATAGCAGTTGAATAGTTAGGAAAGAAACAGATTTTGCCTACTCTCTGGGCCTTTTAAAAAAAAACATGTTTGCCGACTCCTGATCCAGGGCATTTCTGAGCCGAGAACCTTATCTCTTTGGGACAGTATGAGCCAGTGTATAATCATAAATTTAATTGTTTTATTTAGAGTGGGATCTTTTTGAGAGTGGAGGTTGCTGACAAGGGAGAGCACCATACTATGTGCCAAGTTTCTGCCTTTCTCCTGCTGCAAAGAGAAAGTTCTTTGTCTGGAGTATTAAAGAAGCAGCCAGCTTGATTCAAAGAACATAGTTAATAATTACCAGAATTGAATGTTAGAGGAGTCCTCAATTTACTGAGTGCAGAGATTGAGTTATGAGAATAGACCCCTCAGGCCCAACCTAATTTTTTTGATTTCCTTTGATTTCAGGGAAAAGAGAAGTCACCTTTGGACCCTCGACCTGGTTTTGTCTTTGCCCCGGTGAGTATTACTTCTCCCTTTCCCAGCACGCAAAGATCTGAACTCAGCTGTGGCCAGGAAAAGTAAGAGAGTAAAGCTAAGCCACCTCCACTACTTTGTGTCCCTATCCAGTTTCTTTCTTAGTGATTCCTCTGGCTTTCCTACCCTCTGCTCCTGTGCTCCCTTATCCCTAGCCCTTCTTGACTCTCACTCTTAGTTTTTCGGTTTTATGATCTGTTCTTTTGTCTTATGTCATGTCTTTTGTTTGTGTTCACAGTGTCCCCATGAACTTCCCTGTCCCCAGTTGACAGCCTCTAAGCCCCTGGCCTGTAGCTTTTCCCAGGCCTACCATCCCATCCCCTTCAGCTGGGTATGTACTCTGGGAATACTGTGGTAGGGAGTAAGTAGCCTGGGAGGGCACAATGAAAAAGACTCAGAGGTGGGAGGATTTGGAAAATTCAGAGAATAGCTTGGAGATTTTAGGCCCTGAATGTGCATGACTTATAGAACATGAAAAGCGCTGTATGAATGGGGTTCAAAAATTTTTTTTCCCTTGTCTTTTACCTCTAAGCCATCTCTATATCCTTATCTTAGAACAAGAAGCCAAAGGAGGAAAAGTTCTCGATGGTAATCCTTGCCCGAGGGTCTCCGGAGGAGGCTAATCGCTGGCCCCGAATCACTCAGCCTGTTCTTAAACGGCCACGCCATGTGCATTGTCACCTGTGCTGTCCAGATGGGCATATGCAGCATGCTGTGATCACAGCCCGCAGACATGGCAGGTATAGAGGGTGTGACCAAAATTAGTGGAAGGTAGCAAGAACCTGCAGCCCACATTGACCCTCTGTTTTATATAGGGATTTGTATCGCTGTGCCCGTGTCAGCTCCTGGGGAGATCGTTTACCTGTGATCACGCCATCTGAGCTTCCTCCATCACCTGCTCAAGATCCCCCTGAGAGTTGACAAGGATGTGTAACATGTGTTTTCTTCTATCGTGACTGCCAAGGCTGAAGCTACCTGGTATCCAGGATGGGAGTGCTGGTACTTTTACAGCAAAAAACTAGTTAAAATAGCCTCCATTATAGTAAGCCTTATTCTTTTAGCTCACTCGGCCATCCTTTCACAGATGCTTTTCTTTCTTGTTTAATTGCACTTTGCAAATGATTGCCTTCTAGCTAGAATTGTATTATGCATCTAGTGTTTACTCCTCCAAGGAAACACTCCCTAACACTCCCTTCCCTTGTGAGCATTGTTCATTCCAGAAAGAAGGTCACCGTGTGATAATCTCAAGGACCACCAGAACCAGTCCGGAGAGGAGAGCACCTAACACGAGCTTTGAAATTTTCCAGAAGTGAAGAATGCAAGCTTGCATCTACCCTGATCCTTATCTATGGCCCTATTTTCCACTTCCAAACTATAAGACCCCTTGCTGTTCTCTCTTAAGGGAGGGCACAGTCTTTAGGGCATTAGCCTGCTGTGGCCTCCTTTGCCTGGCAAAGCAATAAAAGCTACTCTTTTATACTTCACTGAAAACTCTGTCTCTGTGTCTCTGTTCAGCACTGGTGAACAGAGGCTGAGTTTCAGCAACAGGTACCCCTATATAGCTGTGTTTGCTTAGGTTTTAATAATAATTAAAAGTTTTCAAAGAATGGAAGTGGATCTTGTGATTCTTAAAAGGTGTAGAAGTCTGTTGTCATGGCCTATCCTATAATGAAGAGAATCCTCAGATTTTCAACGTTTCCCACACAAATCTCCAGCTCACCCTGTCCTGGAAGAATCCTGCTGCTTCCACCAGATTCCAGGACTTCGCACGGAGGCCTGGAGATAATCTGGAGTAGTGGGGGAAGCCATCCCCAGCTCCCTGAGAACTGGCTCAACAGGCCTCAGGGTTGTCAGGCCACCTGAATAGGGGATCAGCAGCTGCTTGGCCTCTGTGTTTTCTCCCTCCTTTCCTTTCAACTTTCTCAGCTCCCTCAGAGTTCACTTCACAAATTTCTCTCAGGAGTCGATTCCCCTCAGGCCTGAATCTATCTCCACCCTCATATATCCAGGCAGGAGCCTTCAGTTTTCCCTTAGGCCTTGCTGTTTCAGAGCTAGAGCAACTTTCTTTGTCCTAAAACTCTCAGTCCCTCTCCTATAATTTATATCAGGAAACAGGCATAGTCAAAAGTTATAACAGTATTGATGTTGTAATACTAGAAATCTTCCTTCTAGACATTTCCATGCCTGGAGCTATTTTTCTGGGGTTACAGGAGAGGGGAGTCCCCCTCCTCTGCTAGTTCCCACAGAGTGCTGGCAGCTCCACTTCCCAGGCCCTCCTCCTCACCCCAAGTGGCCCCAAATCCCCTCTGAAAAGGTGCAGTTCAGGTATCAGCATAGCAACCTATAAGGCTTGAGGTGGGGTTGAGAGGGTATGGAAGGCTTAGATCAAATGTCCTGAGTGAGGCAGGACCAGATTGTCCCCAACACAAAACAGCCGGGGAGAGCTACCATAGACTCCCTTTTTGGATTAGAACAGCCCCAGATGAGAACTAAGACTCTACAGCCCTTGGTTTAGTCAGAGCATTCAAAAGGAGGAGAAGACACAGCACCAGGCTGTGCCTGGCAGGGAGTCCGGAGTTTCTGATTTCTAAATTCAGGAAGGCGTCAGCCAGGGGAGGGGCCTCCATGTAGGGGAAGGGCGGGAAGCTGGGGCTGGGCAAGTTTTCTATGCAAAGCTGCGCAAGAAGAGGCCACACAGACCAGAAAGAAGACCCAATAGCCTTCTGAAACTGAGAAGAGTGGAGGCTCCAGCTTTGACCACCTGAGACACCACTCCTGCTGCGAAGATTGTCACTCCATTTGTTATCCTGAGGCCTCTACTTACCCTGTACCATAAGGATGGAGCCACTACTAGGAGTAAAAGTTGGCTGCCTGTTTTCCCTGCTGGTTCTCACTCTGGTCTGTGGCCTTTTCCCCATCTGCTTCAAATGGTTCCAGACTGCCACAGGTACAGCCCGACCATGTCTTTGTCCCCATAACCTAAGTCTGACTCAGCCTTGTCACCCTATCCTGATATCTTGCTCTGATTCTCTCATCATCCCCAAGCTTGGGACATGGGGTGCTGCCTGTGGCTCTTTAGTCATTGTTGTCTGTCTCCCCTTTGCCAGCTGGATTGTAACTCCTGCTGTTTATTAGGTCGTCACCGCCGGGTCCTCAGCCTCCTGAGCTGCACTTCTGCTGGCATTTTCCTGGGAGTGGGGTTCATGCACATGACTGCTGAAGCCTTGGAGGGAATTGAATCAGAGATCCAGAAGTTGGTGATACAGGTGAGCAGCAGAGTTGCTGAGCTGCAGGGCTGTGAGGCCAGAATGATGAACAGAACCAGGGAAAGTAACGAAGAAAGGGGGAAAATAATGAAGCCAAGGACACAGGAGGAACAACAGGGAAGATGACAGCTCTTGTGCGGAATGATGGAAACAGGTCAGATTGGCCTTTAAGGAAAGTGATGGAGCCGAAGGCACAGGACAGGAAGCTGAGCTGCTCTTTCCCTCGTCTAATTTGTGCTTTTTTTTCTACCTAGAACAGCACAAACAGTGAGGGGAATTCTGATGATGCTGATTCAGCTTATGTAAGTATCTCCCACCAGCCCCTACCTGGAGATTAAGGAGAACCAGAGATGCCTTTAATGCCCAGACCTTTTTGAGAGGACTTAAGTGTGGAATTCCAGGAATTCCTTCTGCTCCTCAGCTGCGGCATTGTGGGGGAAAAGAGGAGCCACCCAATCCTTTTGGGCTTATGAAACCCCAGAAAGAACTCTTGTTTAGCCTTCCATTCTTTCTCTGGACGCTTTGACATGCTTCATATCATTTTCCCATATTTTTAAACCTATTGATATTATTTCCCTTAGTCCCTCTGGTATTCTTGTTGTCGAATGTCCGTGTCTACTCTTGGCTTCATTTCCCTTTTTTTCGTTCTATTACCACACTTCCCATTCTCTTCAGCCTCCCAATCCCATGTCCATCCAATGCAATTTCTTCCCTTCCTTTCCCATCTCACAACCCCTCTTTCTGTTCCTAGATGGAGTATCCCTATGGAGAGCTCATCATCTCCCTGGGCTTCTTCTTTGTCTTCCTTTTGGAGTCACTGGCATTGCAGTGCTGTCCTGGGGCTGCTGGAAGATCAAAAGTACAGGAGCAAGAATGGGGTATGGCTAATGTCCTTGAACCCCATAGCCACGGACCTCTACCCTCACCATCACGAGGTCCCCTGCGAGCCCTCGTCCTCTTGCTCTCGCTCTCCTTTCACTCCGTGTTTGAAGGTCTAGCTGTGGGACTGCAGCCAACGGTCGCAGCTACCGTGCAGCTCTGTCTTGCCATCCTGGCTCACAAGGGGCTCGTAGTGTTTGGTGTAGGACTGCGGCTGGTGCAGGTAGGCACTGGATCACGTTGGGCCATGCTCTCCATACTGTCGTTAGCTCTCATGTCCCCCCTGGGCCTAGCCCTAGGGCTGGCTGTGCCTCAGGGAGTCTCTGAAGGGGGGCAAGGCTTGGCCCAGGCTGTGTTAGAAGGCATGGCAGCTGGCACCTTCCTGTATGTCACCTTCCTGGAAATTCTGCCCCGGGAGCTCGCAGGTCCTGAAGCCCCTCTGGCCAAGTGGGGCTGTGTAGCTGCCGGTTTTGCTTTCATGGCCTTTATTGCCTTGTGGGCCTGAGAGATTCCTGACTTTTCTGATGGATCTAAGATGACCTCCCTACCCCCAAGAGATGCCTCCCAAATGACCTTAGCCCTCTGACATTTCTTCACTGAGACAAAGTGACATTCACTAGGCATCATTCCGTAACCTGGACCCCAGCTTTTCGCTACGTGAGATGCCATTTCTCATGCAGGACTGAGAAAAGGATGTTTCAGTTGAGTGCCTATAAATTGGAGGACTGATACAAAGACCATCACTCCAGATTTGACTCTTGTCCCGTTTATCCTACTGTGTGTAATAAAATGTCCATTTTATCCTTCCCCTTCAGCCATGCTATACTTCATTTCTCCGGGTTGCCTAGGAGGTACCTGATACAGGAGGTGGTGGAGTGGAGAGCGGGAAGGGTGAGTGTGGGATGCAGTCTTCTTTTCTGGAATTGGGCCCCCAGCCATTCTGTCAGTTGCAGGCCATGCCTCTCGAGACATGGGAGCGTTTCTGAAATTCCAACGACTTACTACCACCTTATGTACAGGTGTTGAGAAACTGAGCCAGAGTTCCCAGCATTTAGAGAGAAGAGGTTAAAAAACAGAAACCACAGGGATCTAGATTTTTTTCCTATGCTAACCACACCCACCCCACTCCCAGTCTCCCACAAAGTGTCCAACAGACTCTTGAGATAAGGCTAAATGGAGCCTATTTCCATCTGGTTCCTACGTTTCACGCTGAGCCCTGTGTGGCTTCAGGGCCACTCTTGCTCTTCTTTGCATCTCTGTCTCCCTCCAGCTGCCTTGTGCTGAGGGATTAAGAAGCAGTGTGCTTGGAGAGGGAGAAAGGCAGCAGAGAAATGCCTGGGTTGATCACTTGGCTCTGCCACGACTTAGCGCTTTTCCTTCTGCATGCCTGACCTGCTGCTAGGGCTCCAGCCCCTCCCTGTTGGACAGTTTGCCTTTCAGTTGAGTAACTCCCACAATGTGTTGCTTCTCTTAAAAGCTGCTAAGGACATATACATTATGTGCAACTGAGGAGGAGCAGGGTGGCTGTTGCCCAGCCCCTGACCCACGAGATGGAGGAATATATCAGACGTAGTGGAGAAATTGGGAAAGAGAAGGTGTACCCTGTGGGCTCAACAGCTTACCACTTTGCCCCTTCTTATACTTTCGGTGTGGAAGCCCAAGTGGCCTTAACATGGACAAGGTCTCCTGAGTTTCATTCTTGTCTCAGTCTGTCCTCTGTCCATCCCATTCCCCTCGCCATAAATTAAGATACACAAACCTCCTCAGCAGCCCAGCGTACACACACAGGGATCAGTGAGAAGGCAAGCTTCAGGCAAAGCTAAATAAAAATGTCTGACATGGGAAATAATTTCCCGGAAGCACCATCCTATTCCGTTTTCCCTTC